GGACGGTCAGGCTGTGGGACGCCGGCTCGGGAAAGGCGCTGCAGACGCTCGAGGGCCAGTCGGATATCAGCGCCGTGGCCTTCTGGCTGGACGGCAAGCAGTCGCCAGGTTCCGGATCGGATCCTCCACGTCTCAGAATTATCGAGGAATGGATAACCATAGGCGCGGAAAGACGTCTTTGGCTTCCAGTCGACTATCGCAGTCCAAGGGCCGTCGCCATTCGCGGGGATAAGATTGGCTTGGGATATTTGTCTGGTCGAGTGCTGTGCATGGAATTCATTTGCTGAAGTGTCTCTTAACCTCCTCCCCACCCACCTCCGTTGCGCCCGTTGTCTTCTTATACCTTTTTTTTAGAGCGGAAGTGGCAATGAATTACGTATTGAAATGGGACAGCTTTGAGATCGAATCCTCAAATTACAAATAGTAATTACAAATAGTAGCAATGGCGGATGAAAATATCACCATCAGTGATGTAATAGCTTCAATACATTGTGGATCTGGAAGTATCTGGAATTAACCATTCCTTCACAACGCAGAGAAAGATATGATGGAATGTGGTGGCTTTGTTGAAAGTTTGCCACTCCCAGCTTCTTGTGTCTAGCAAAGCGTTGACGAAGACGGGCCCAGGCCCTAGCTCAACCTGGTCCAAGCCGGAAAAGGGAGACGGTCACATACAGCATGTCCTCTCATTAACCTCCATTGATAAAGACGTGAAATTGCGTTAGGATGCTAGGCGGATAATCCTATCTTTGTCATCTGAGACCCTACAGAGAGCCCGATTCTGGAGCGCCACCTCCGCCCGCGCCACCATCTCCATCCGCGCCACCAACTTCACCCGCGCCACCAACTTCACCCGTGCCACCAACCCACTCGCCACCTGCGTCACTGCCTCGGCTCGTCTTCCCTTCCCTCACCACGGTACAACTCCACACTTAGCCCCCTAGCCACCCCACTCGGAGAATCGGAGTGCGGGGTAGGGTTGCCTGAGTCACGTTGAGGCAGAGCTGACACTGCGAAGACGGAATAGGGGTCCTAACGGGCGCCCCCGCTTAATTGAGATATGACCCTTCCGATACTCATGATACTTCGCTTGCAGGTCCAACCGGGCCGGTTCTGGAGAGGGGAGCCGGCGACAGGGCCGAAGACGGGGCGATTTAAGGGAGGCGTTGTGGTTCAATGCGGAGGCAGGACGAGCACATGTTACTGCCCATCTAAAATCACTTAGCGCGTCAGTAACTTCCAATTGAAGGAAATCTGGGGCTGGATTTAGCGGCAAGACGGAGGTAATATTGGCTAGCAAGAATGACAATGCATAGGCTAGTCTAGATTGAGCACTTTCCTCATTGAGCTAAGGATACGGACACACGTCAGAGATAAGACGTTTTCGAATTCAAATCTAGGCGGCCAAGCATAGCACAGTATTTTTGCGCGGATAATATGATGAGGTAACCCGTATTAAAGTGCTGCCGAGGGCGGTGCCCTAATCCGGACTTCCTAATGCGGAACGCGGCCATAGATCAGAGAATGCACCAGGCCCCGTCTGCTCACTGAAGTTAAGCTCCGAACCGGTTGACTAGTAGTTGCGTGGGTGACCAGCAGCTACTCCCAACTGCTGTATGTTTTTGCTCCTTCTTTTTTGCCGACCATCGATCCGAATTGCACTAAGGACCGCAGCCGTGTAAGTGTTTTTTGACATTCACGCAGCCGTGGGACAGGCTCCTCATCACACATATGCTACATGAAAGGGACTTTCAGTGAGAGTTGGAGACAAATTTTGAATATGAAGAGCTTATATAGCCATCCCGGAGCAAATTATGGACCATATTCAAGCCTTGAGCTCCAAGGTACACTACCAGAAAGGCTGGGCCCCTTTACCGAAGCCGCACCGTAGGCCCATACATTCGGCTTCCAGACGAAGCACGCCGGTAGGATCATCGGCGAGTCGTCCGGCGTAGCAAACGCGGACTCTACATCCCATCTTTCGAAGATCTCCTTCCCAGCAGAACTCATGGACTCGGTATTCGCGCAGCACACGCCGCCCCAACCGCGCGGCTTGCAAACACCGTCCTATCATCCCTTGTGGCCCGACACAAACTCCCATTCCCACCCATCAGCAAGCCCTCATGGCTCAGGGGTAGAGCGTCGCACTCGTACCTCGATTACAGTACATGCGAAGGTCCGTCGTTCAAATCGGCGTGAGGGCAGATGCGATTTTTTTGCCTGCCCTTGCCTCGCCCATGCCGAGGCTAAATTCCTGACTCCCCTATCTCAACATCTATGCTCTCATGGTATGAAGGAGAAGCATATATCGTGACGTCGATGCCGTATACGGGGTGTGTCGGTGTGATTATGATGGACACGGAACAGTTCGCACTTCGTTCATCTAGGGATATAACGTCTAGATATTCCATCCAACAGAGGCATATAGCACTGCTCCCTATCCTAAGGTGTCCACAAGTAAGGTCATAAGCATTATCCACTCCCTCTCCTTCCCAAAGCCTCATGATCGGGCCCAGCACTCATTACATCCTCCCTACACCTACTCCATAACCACCGGTCCAGGACTCCCTATCCTCCCTGCCGCACTCTCCCCAGCCGCAAATCTCTCCCTCCCCAACTCCGCCCAAGACCTAGCCGTCTTAAGCGCAACATCCCCCTTCGGCAGCTTGAGCCTAACATCCAGCACAAGCAACCCCTCCTTAAAATAATCACACTCAACCGTACGATCTAGAATCTGCAACCTCGTATCCACCGTCTCCTCCGTCAGCGCCGAGCCTCTCAACTCCGGAAACTCCTTCTTGAGGCGGTAGATCATGGCGCCGAGCGGCACGCCCGCGATCTCAAGCATGCAAACCACGCGGTCGTGCTGCGGGCCCCAGCACTCAGGGACGCGTGGCGGGGCGGTGCGCCGGCCGGGGAGGAAAGAAGAGAGACTCGTGAGGCTGTGTTGCGAGCGGGAGGGTTTTGGCGAGGTTTCGACGCGCGGGGAGGCATCGAGCCTAGGAGAAGGTGTCTGGCTATGCCTCATCGAAGCCGAGGAAGTGAAGGGGAAGCCACCCGACGTGTTTAGGAAGTCGGGTGAGGTGATTGGGGAGAGGCGCTGGTGGGCGGAGAGCTGAGGGAGGTCGGGGTTGGACCGTGTTGGGCTGGCCAGCGGGGGCTCGGGAGTGACGACACGGATGGTGGTCGGAACAGCGTCTTTGCTGGGGGAGCTACGGAACTATGGGGTATCAGGGTTGTCGAGTGGAGATACGGGAGGCCTTACGACGGGAAATTTCATGATGCTCAGAGCTTGTCTTGAGAGCTACTAGTGAGGAGTGTGTTTATAGAATTGAAACTCGTGAGCTGTCGAGGTGACTGGCGTATTTAGCGCGGCTGGTGTTGAGCCGGTAACTAACTGATGTTCGAACTCAGACGGTGAACCGAGACAGAAAGCACAATAGACTCAGGGGCGTATACCCAAAGACCCCAGGTCGAGGTCGTTCGAAGCCTGCGGAGAGAGGCGCTTATAGGTGTCAACGAGATATCCCGAGCCAGAGCAGTTGCTGCTAGGAGTCGATGTGCCAGCACGCAGCTGATGTCGAATCGGCCAGCAATCGACTGTTGAGGCCAATGGCAACGGAGGAGTTGGTGAAAGTAATCAACCGAGGCGTGTAGAAGGTAGACGAGATTTTCCGAGCTCTGAGCTGGTCAAGAAGTCGGCTCAGCTACCGAGCCGACAAAGGCTCGAAAGTGGAAGCCGATGGCAAGGAACCCACAACGAAAACACTTCGATCGATAGGAGTAGAAGCAAGCAAGACGAGGCTTGTCGGAGCAAGTGGAGAGAGCAACTTGTAATAGGTGTTTCGAGATGCGGTGAGCCCGTTGACGAGGATGTATGGGAGCCACAAAACGCCGAACCAGCGTAATCAACCACGGAAATCCAATTTGAAGGAGAGAAGATGGTCGGTAACCGGATCCCAGGTATGCAGCGTACAGTATCGAGGTGGATGTTGTGAGGGATGGTGGTTGCGAAATTTCATCGCTGAAACTCGGTCATCGTGCAGTTCTCAACTTGGGAAGGAACGGAGCACCCACCCATGTAGCCAAAGAAGTCGCGAAGCAGTCGCAGCGGGCCATCCCCGCTGTTGACTCCCCGCCGTAAGAGAGGCTCGGGAAGAGCCGCTCCTCACGTAGACCATAAACTGCAGCATCACACACCATGACAACAAATGCACCGCCGACTATGCCAAACCATGGCCATAACCATCATCATCCACTCATTTTGCCTAGAACGGTTACCTCTACGGCAGCTCCACATGCGACTCGTGTTTCAGCTCAGTAGCCCGCAAATATGGTACAATATCACAAACCCTGCTGAGCAGATCGATCCTCGATCCCGTCCACAACACCTATGTGCATACCCATTGCTTGCAACGAGAAGTCCCACACATTTTTGCTCGAAAACACAGCCAGAGTCATCGCAGCAGCCCTACTCCACCCGCCGCTATCAAAAACGAAATGCAGCAGAAGAGCGAGAGCGAACCACCATCAAACTCCGGCCATGGGTAACCGCAGCATCCCCCTTGACACGCCTACTTTGACAGACCGAGCTTCCCCAGGATCTTGCTGCCAGTCGGCTTGTCACTTTCTAATATCTTGAGGAGGCTCTGCCAGACCTGACCCGGCTCCTGGCTCGCATCGATGGGCTTCCAGATGCCGGTCTTCTGGTAGTATCCGACGACCGGCGCCGTCTGCTGGTGGTAGGTCACAAGACGCTTGGTGAGGGTAGCCTCGTTGTCGTCGGAGCGCTGGATCAGCGGCTCACCCGTAACGTCGTCAGTCATGGACTTCTGAGGGGGGTTGAAGATCTTGTGGTACGAGCGCCCGGACGCAGGATGCACCAGCCGGCCCGTGATGCGCGAAACCAGCAGTCCGTCGTCGATCTTGAGCTCGATGGCGTGCATCAGGGGCTGGCCTTGCTGCTTAAGCATCGAGTCTAACCGCTCAGCTTGGGTGACGGTGCGGGGGAAGCCATCGAGAATGAACCTGGGACGTTAGTCTCCATTCAGTGACACAATCAAGCACCCTTACCCGTTCTTGCACTCCGAGTTGTTCTTCAGCTCGTTCTCAATGATCCCAATCATGATCTCGTCGCTGACCAGCCCTCCGGCGTCCATGATCTTCTTGGCCTCCTTGCCGAGGGGAGTCTTCGCCGCTACCTGCGCGCGCAGCATGTCGCCGGTCGCCTAGATCGTATAGCATCAGTGTATGCCCAGTAGAGCCGGAGGCGGGGCCGTACCAGATGGCAAATGCAGTACTTGTCCTTGATGCGCGGCGCCTGCGTGCCCTTGCCTGCACACCCATCAGCTCGCTCCAGTCCATGCCGGCGCATACTGCGCGGCGGTTAACATCATGATTCACGTACCTGCACCGGGAGGGCCCATGAGGATCATGCGCATGGACTCCGACGGCTGCTTGTCGCCAGCTATGCGCGATTCCAGGTCCATGACGCGCGACTCAAGCTTCTTGACCAAGCTCTTGATCTCGTCGAGGATCTCATCTTTGATAGGAGCCATTGTGTAAACTAGCGTGAGATCGGATGAGAAGCTACGTTATATGGTGGTGGTTGAATTGGCGCAGGACGTGAGCGGTAAATTGCGGACAGGTAGATGGCGGGGTAGAGCTGGGATAAGAAGGGAAGGCGGGGGAGGGGGAATTGAGGGTATAAGGGCCTGTGGTCTGTGGTGGCGCCGGCGGACAGACGGACTGGAGATGGGGAGAGGCGATGGTGGTGGGGATTTTCGTAGCACGGATCTGACCTCGGGAGAGGAAGGGAAAGGGAAAGCTGGAAGGGAGAGCACGGAAGAAGGTTGAGCGACAGCCGAAGAGCGGCGCGCGTGGAGAGCAGGTGCACGGGCCTCACCACTGTTCAACTGCAATACAACCACTCCGTTCCTCCGAACTTCGCTCTCCTGATGAATTATGGCGTCCTAACCGACGCTGGAATGTTGCTCTCGCTCTACCGCAGTTATTGCACTCTACATAATGCCCTCGTTTGATGACAGTTGGCTTCAATTGCTACTCATGTCCGCTCCGGCACAGAGCCGCAGGCAAAGCTACAAAATGTCGCGTCCGTGCACCTTGCAGCTGCAATATCTTCAGAAATGCTCACTCGACCATAATGCTGCCCGAGATGGTACTGCCCAGTTGTAAAAAGGCTCCATCTACTCAAACATCACTGTAAGACGAGACAAAAAGAGTGACGAGATCACGAAGCCCCATCCCGCTCAAATCTTGAAGTCCGCAAGCACACCACGTCATAATATCTGTCAAGTCCATTTTTGGCTAGTCTGCTGCCCACACGAAAACGTGCAGCTACAGTTTCCCATCAAACCGCCCATGAATAACACTCTGAACACCATCATGACTCCGCAGTATGCAATGCGGTATCCCACCACCTCATAAGCGAGTCAAAGGCACAATGCATCAGGTCAGCCCCACGTCGGCCACACACAACCTCAGCATGCAGCGCTCCAACGCAGCATTATCAGTCACATCACATCCCGGCATCCATCTTGTATTCCTCATGCGTGCGCTTGCCCAGCACACGATCCGGCGTACTCCTCGCCGATGGAACCTTGCGCTGCGCAAGCAGTCCGCCCAGCGTACCTGACCCGTTCTGCCCATGCCCCTTAGACACCTCGGTGTAGCAGCTAGCATGATAGTACTTGTTCCCGACCTTGACCGCGTCCTTCCACACCGGTTGCTCCTCCTCCTTGTGCCACTCCACCTCAAACTTCTCTTGACAGATGGAGCAGGGCTGGTTCGCCTGCCTCACGTCTGTGGGCACAGGTACGTACTGCTCCTTCGGACCCTTGAGACGCGTACCTGCCATTCCAGCTGCGATATCGCCCGCATCACACGAGCCAGCATCTTTTTCCTCACGATAGTGAATCCATTCCTGCATTGCGTTAGCATGATCAGTATAGAGAGAGCAAAACTTACCCGCTCGTCAATGTACCAACTACGATTAATCACATTTTTCGCGTTATCAGCCACACGCGTATTCACATAAAAGTGCCGATCAAGATGTGCACCCTTAAGGCGCTTCCCTTCAGGTGTAGCCTCAAACCGCATACCGCACTGCCGACATTGATCCGGCTTGTCACCGTACAGGCGAGCGATGAGCTGCAGGCGCGGGCTAGGAGGATTAGTATCAAAG